CCAAAGCTGAGCAGTGAAGGTGCTGCGGTCACAGTGCATCTCTTGGTGACATCACAGCCTGTTGCTCGGTGATGTCACCATGGTTCTTCTGCCCCTACAGCAGTTACGTGAACAGCACTTCACATTCTGCATCTGTATCTGTGTCTGTGTATGCATCTGAGGTGACCACTGTGGCGCTTCCAGGCACTGCTACTCCTTCTCTATGTGCTGTGTGTTCCTTGAGAAGAAACTAACTTTTACAAACATAATGTTCATTAAGTTGGTGGAGGCAGCACTGTGCAAGTGGCTACCTCAGCTCTGTTTTGGGTAGAACTCAGACTTTGTGGAAGTGTATGTCCAAGTAGTTGGGCGCGGAGGAACATTTCGCGTTTCAACAAGAGCTAGTGTAGAGTGGTGGGCAATAGATCGTGCGTGAGTCAGCAGTGTGCCCTTGTGGCCCAGAAGGCCAATGGTATCCTGGGGTGCATTATAAAGAGCATAGCCAGCATGTGTTCATCCTGTTCATCCTGAGGAAGACAGAATCACTGAGAATGTCTCATTGTTTATAAATCTGAATTGTTTGAGTTAAATTGTCTGTATTCAGTGACAGGACTAGGAGCAACAGATAAAAACTGGGACACATGAACTTCCATACAAATAGGAGGAAGAACTTCTTTGTTCCTAGGGTGATGGAGCACTAGAACAAGCTACCCAGAAGGTGATGGATTCTCCTTCTCTGGGGACAAGTAAGATCCCTCTGGACGCTTTCCTGTGTGAGGTACTGTGGAGCAGGTGCTTTAGCATGGATTTAGACTCTCTTATCTCCAGGGGTCCCTTTCAACACCTACAAACCTTTAATTCTGTTATTCTTTAGAGATCCGGTGTTGTCGCCTCTGACTGTACAAGCGTAGTGCTCCAACATGGCTAACATAGATGTACAGGTCTGCTTTAGTTTGTTTCTTCTTTTCTTCCTTAAAATTATGTTATTCCTCTTGTCAGCAGTGTAGAAACATGCAAATATTATTAACTCTGAGGTTTAAATAAAAATGTACTCCCACAAGTATGTATGTTCATTATAACATTAGTGTTCATATTGGGGTTCTGAGGAGAATTGCATGAGAAGCACCCAGCTAAGATTAGCATGTTAGCCAGGAAGGCAGCATTTGGAAAGGTATATCAAGGATTCAACAGTCAACAAAGCCACAACATATCAACATATCTGCAAATTTGCAGAGGTGAACGCAATCTGGATTGCAACCTACATAGCCATAGATGTTCTTAGGTACCCATCTGAGCCATTTGTATTGCACTCCTTCATCTCTGTGCAGCTTATTCACCATCGTACTAGTGAGGAACAGTGAGGTGGCTATGGAAGTGGGTAAGTGCGTAAGAGCTAGGCCTCCAGCTGTACAGACTGCTGCACTGAGCCACCTGTCTGATCAGACCAAGTTTATGATAGCTGTGTAGCACTGGAAGCGTGCCTTGAGTATTTGGGACTCATAAAGCAAATGTCCCTGCTCTGAGGATTCCACGCCCCAGATTAGACTTGACATGCTAAGGGATGATAATAACAGGGAATGGAAGGAAGCAGTAGGGGTTGACAGCAGGAAAGGGCCTGTGATAAGCTGAATTTCACGGACGCGTTGCTGGAGCCTCCCGAGGTTTTTGTTGTAAATAGAGCAGAGTGTTTGGACTTGTCAGCAATTATTTAGAAGCAGATCAGTGGCAGACAGGTGAGCTAAAATGTTGAAACTCTGGAAAAAAGTCAAAAGAGAGTGAGTTGATGTGGTGCTCAGAGGCAAAATGGGTGTTGTGAGCACGGGGACTGTTGTTA